AGGAGCCTGCCCGCCGCGCCGGGCGAGCTGCGCGGGCGGCGGCCAGGCCTCGGAAGGATACTTGTTGCACCGTTCTCTGAATGGTGGTGTCTGGGGACTGGGACTCCTTCAGCAGCTGCAGGATTTGCTGAAGCCCTTGCTCGTCAGGTTTCCACTCATACTCCATCTTGGTTTGCTGCAAATAAAGCCAGACACAGGAAGAGAAGGAGCAAATGTTACTCCTTGTGCACAGGCCCGGGGGATTCCCGCGTCAAGATGCCCCCTCCTCCCCGCCTCAACAACCCCAGCGCTCCCCAGACGCCTCGGACCTGCCTGGGGTGCCCCGAAGGAAGTCTTGGACGGTAAAACCCGGCGGAACTGCCCCTAGCAGCTCGGCCGCCAACGTCTGCTGCTGCCGCCGCGGCCGCCGAGCGCAAGGAGCCGACCAGACTGAGTCACCGCGAATTTGCAATCTGGCCCCAAGATCCGCTCGCGGGAGCCCCCTGGGTCCTAGTGCCGCGCAGTTTCCTCAAACCCAACCCTACTCTAATTCTGTCCAGATTACTACTGGCTTAAAGGCTAATCGTAAGTAAAGTCCTTATCAAAACCTCTGAGAAACACCTAACATCTGATTTGGGTTACTAGTTATTTTAAGTAAACATGATGCAAAAATAAACAGTAATTGAAGTGGGGGAGGGGAGTCTGATAACTTCCCTGACAGCTCAACAATAAATGAAAAGCAATACAAATGTTCACATTTCAATTTGCTATGTAAAGCACTAAATATGAATAGTGTAAAATATTAATGATGCATTGCAAATCGTAACCTATACTTCAAAAGTCATTAAATGAACCATTTGCAGAACTTGACTACAAAAATTATATTCTTTAATAAACTTCAACTTTGGTGCTTTTATTAAATAACTACACTCCACAACTTTGGGTGAAAGAAAAACAAAAATAATGTAATTTTACAACTGGTAGTTAATTCTACTAAAGTATTTTCACACATATTTTCTTGACTCTCACTGCAACCTCATGAGGTTATTATTTGCCCCCATGTGGCAACCGAGGTGAAAAAAGACCCAAGCAAATTACTAGTTAATCAGTGAAAACTGGAAGAATGAGGTTTCATAAACTACAGCCAATTGCAGCAGCAACTGAACTATTATTATAAGTGATACGGTTTTAGTAAAACTAAATGCTTGAACACCACCACCACAACTTAAGTAGCAAGCATGAATTATTTGTAAAAGCCAAACAGGTTGATAAAGGAGAGTTGTATTTTTTTTTTTTTTTTTTAGGTTTTTGCCATAGGGCGTGTGCAGCTCATGGGAGAGAGAGAGATAGTGAGAGGGAAAGTGAGAAATCATCCCCTAGGGGAGACAGACACACCACAATCCCTTCCTCTCCATTACTCTTCCTGGGATATTGGGCATGCACACAGAGGCTCGGCATGATTTTCAAGCTGGGCAGGGACTCGAACCACAGTTGGTCATAGGGGAGTCCAGTGAGGTAACCACTACGCCACCTGGAGAGGATTTTAATATGACTATTGCTACTGCATGATGGGTTGACAGCTGAAATTAGTAGGTCCTTCTCTATAGGGGTTAAAAAAAAATACCCAACTTTACCATACCTATTAACTTTATTTTTCTTTCCTCTTTTTTTAGGTTTTTGCCATAGGGTGCACGGGAGACAGAGACAGTGAGGGGGAAAGTGAGAAATCCACCCTCCCCAAGGGGCAATGGCCATGTCACAGTCCCTTCTCCTCCTGGTATTTTGGGCACACACACAGGCTCACCCAGAGTGATTTTCAAGCTGCCAGATCTGCCATGTGGGAGTCCAGCCCTTAACCCCGTCACACCACCACCTGCTGGCCCCAACTTTTTTTTTAATGCCTTTTCATCTCTCCTAGTCAACCTTATTTTCTGCTTAAAAACTTATGATCTAACTGCATACGACCTTCTGTTGACTTCCTAAATGACCTAAACCAATAAATTGTTTTTTACTTAAATGAACCAAAGCCCCCAACACAAAAACCACCACTATCTGGACATAACACCCATTGATGTTATACTATTTCTGCTCCAGACTTCATTCTGTGTGTTGGTATGTACAGTACACATTATAATAACAGGATTGTTCTTTTTCTTGCCTGACTTCACATATAGTTAAATATTTATTGAAAATATTTTTAAAAAACGTTTCCATTGTATGGCTGTGCCATAATTTTTTTTATAAACTTTCACTTGATATAAACACTTAGTATGATTATACTAAGTATAAGCATGTAACTGGATGGATTTTTACAAAGTAAACACATCTGTGTAACCAAGACCCTACTCAAGACAGGTATCACCAAGAGTTGTCTCTTGTGCCTATTTCCAGTCATCAATCCTCCTCAAAGCAATCCCCAGTATAATTTCCTAACTGTACATTTCTCCACCTTGTTTTCCTTTTTAACTTCAAAACTTGTGACAAAGCCGTATTATTATAATAAATCCAACAACAGTTGGATAAGGAAAATCACTTCATTCCAACCTCTGAGGTTATTTATCCACGACAATCACTTTTAACAGTCTAATGTGAATCTTTGTACACCTTTCTCTATTCCTAAACACACATAGTTTTCCTTTCGGGAATGGTTTTTGCTATAGGGCGCCTGTGCTCGCCAGAAAGACAGAGAGAGACAGAGAGACAGAAAGTGAGAAATCACCCCCCCCCCCGGGGGGATGGCCACGCTGCAATCCCTTCTCCTCCACTTTTCTCTCGAGATCTTGGGCATGCACACAGACACACCTGGCGTGAGTTTAAGCCACTGGGTCCGGGACTCCAACCGTGGTCAACTACATGGGAGTCCAGCGACATAGCCATTATGCTAACTGCTGGTCCCTTCCTTTTTCTTTTCTAGACCATATTCCATACTACACTAATATTAACTCTACAACCTTTTTACATATAATATTGTATGGCCATCATTCCAGGCCAATACATGTAGATTTAACTCACTTTTTTATAGATGTATATTGGTCTCTAGAATGGATAGAGCATAATTTGTTCAACCATTTCCTAACTGGCTTCTAGAGTACACTTAATTTTTTTGCCACTATGCACAACACAGCAAAAAAAAAAAATTCTTGTATTAATATCCCTATACAATAGTGGCAACATAATGGGATTATTAGGCCAAAAGGTATGGGCATTCATAAATTTCTAACAGTTATTACCAAATTACTTTCCCAAAAGGTATGCAATTCACATTTACCAACAATATGTTTCCCGTCATCTTCACCAGTGCATTCTTTTTAATTTTTGTGAAGCTAATGGTTGACAATTTAATTTCCTGATAGTAGTAGAGGCTGGGAACCTAAAAGCCTGAGCTTTATGAACTGGAGCTACTACCATGCACAACCTACTTGTTCAAGTGATATTGATAGCCCACTTAAACCCTTATCTACCCTTCTGAACAAAAAATTAAAGCCAGGGACCAATAGCAGGCAAGTCTGATAGGAATGTTCATCATCACATCTATCTTGAGGATACTGAGTCATTACCAGGCTTCCTTCTTTATCCCTGATCTCAAACCAGATTCTTTTTCTTTTCAAAGAGTTTAGTATTAAGAATATTTCATTTAATTAGCCCATGATGATATGACAGGTACTCCCTATTCCTTTCTCAATTATTTGTAGTAAACGACTCTCAAAAATATAAATATAAATCATAATTGCTTGATTAGAAATCTCAGACTACCTTGAACTTCTATAGGACATCTTTCTTTAAATTGTTGTAAACTGCACATACATAAAACTTACCATTTTAGCCATCTTTTTTTAAAAAGAATTTTTTTATTGAACTTCATTATTTATTTATTTTAATTTGACCAGAGAGGGGCAGAGTGAGAAAGAGAAAGGGAGAGTGAGAAAACAAGTTGCCAGGTCCGGGACTCAAACCGTGGTCAGCCATGTGGGAGTCTAGCACCCTTAATTGCTCCACCTGCTGGCCCCATTTTAGCCATCTTAGGCTTACAATTCAGTGACCTTAAGTAAGTTCTCATTGTCGGGCAACCATTACCACCATCCATCTTCAGAATGTAAAAACATGATTTTGTAAGGTTTTTTATTCATGATTATATAATGCACATGCACAAGGTAGGGGGGAGGTACCCTCAACCAAGTCTCATCATACTGCACTCTCCTTCCCACAGCCCTCCAGACTGTCAGGATCTTGGGCATATTTTTCAGACTGATGTGGGGATCCAAACCCGTGGTTGGGCATGTGGCACCGCAGTTCTCTTTGAAGCAGATTGTGCTGGGACCAGCAGGTGGCATGGTGGTTAAGGTGCTGGACACTCCCATATGGTTGATCATGGTTTGAGTCCTGGACCTGGCAGCTTGCTTTCTCACTCTCCTCTCTCTTTCTCTGTGTCTCTCTCTGGTCAAATTAAAATAAATGAATGAGTAAATAAAATTAAATAAATAATCCTAAAAAAAATTTAAAAAAAAGAAAAAAGAAACAGATTATGCCAACAGGCTTAGCCACCATGCTTTCAATAGCCATTAAAATTAGAAACAATTTGGCAGCTGGTGTCATGGTGGCTGAGGCAGCTAAATCCCACAAGGTCAAATGCATGGTTAGAGTTCCGGACCCAACAGCTTGAAAAACACACTAGGCATGTGTGTGCGCATGACCAAAATCCCAAGAAGAGGAAGATGGAGGGGATGGCGTTGGGATGTGAATCCACCCCGGGCAGCTAGAGCAATGCATGGTCAATTAGGGAGTAATTAGGGAGTACCTGGAGTATTTCAAGATAACCAAGCACACCAGGATTATTATTGAGATAGAAATAGTTTATTTAAATAGAAATTAAATAGAACACTTAGATTAACATTGGATTTTGTTTATTGAATTTATAATATAATTACTATTTTGGGCACTGTTTTTACATGCTGAGGACTCAGATCTAAATATCTCAAAAAGAAGAATAGTACTTTAAGCTTTTCTCCTGTAGAATACACAAATCATGCAGAATTAATTAGCACATGACAATCAATGGTAACCAAAAAAGGTATTTCAGGAAAACAAAAGACAGTTATTTGAAGATAGAAGATCTCACCACAATAAAAAGTAGCCTGCAGGGCTGGCAGGTTGCATGGTGGGTGGTTAAGGTATCACATGGTGGATGGCAGTTAGAGTTAAAAATCATGTGTGGGTCATGCCCAAAATCCCAGGAGGAGAAGGAATTGAGGTGTGGCCGTCCCTGGGGAAAGGGGATGGTGATTTCTCACTTTCTCTCTCACTGTCTCTGTCTCTCTCCAGTGAGTGTATGCACCCTGTAGAAAAACCTTAAAAAAAAGAAAAAAAAAGTAGCCTTCAAGAGGTAAGTTACTGTAATACTATTTTGGACCTTCAAGAAAACTAAACTTATTTATGAGTCATGAATTAATTTAAATTTA